CTGTTTTTATTCAATTATACATTTGAGAGGACATTCCATGAATTATTACCTAATCAGATCAACTAGCATTTATTGAACTAATGTATTGTAAAATATTCTGTGAATATTTTAAAAAGCACTATTTAAAGTATTATCATAGTTGTAATGATCTAACAAATCCATAAGTTTCTCAGAAAGATACAATGTATTTGTAATGTGAAAACATAAACACAAAGTATATTTAACTATTTTAATGGCTAATAATTTCCTTCAGATAGGATAGTAAAGAAGATAAATACTTAGAAAATTTTTAAAGTAGTGTAGCCCAAAAGTGCTATCTCAATATACGTGAAATGCTATACAATATTCTCTTCTATTTTAGTAAGAAAATTATTATTTTTCTGGAATATTAGCAACAACAAAAAAATAAACTTACAGAACCAGACAATGCCCCTGAAGTAAAGTTGATCATAAATGTTGGTTCATATAAACCAGATCTCTCACAAAACCACTTCTTTAAAATTTCATAGTTATACCAGTACATTGCTATAAAAACAGAGAATGAAATGAACACATATTTAGAAATAAAATGTGGACTTTAAAGATTTATGAGGTTATATATTACAGAAACAGAAAAATCCTAACTTTGACACATCTTGCTTTCTGCTTAGACACCCACTAGGTGGAATTTCTTTAAAAAAAAAAAAGTGAAATTCTCAGTAATATTCTAGCAGTCTTATAAACAAACAAATAAAAAAAGCATCAGTAAAGTGCGCTGTAATTCCAAAATCTGATAAGGACAGTAGGAGAAAGGAAAAAAGTAAAGGTCAATCTATTAATGAACATCGGTATAAAATTCCTAAAAAATTAAAATCATAAGCAAAGGGAAGCCATAGGTACTTCATAAAAGATTGTACACTATGACTAAGGTGGGTTACCTCAGAAATGAAAAGGTATTTAATATAATAAAAATTTTAAATGTCATATACCATGTTCATTAAACCATAGAATCATCTAATGATAATGAAAAAGCATTTCATAAAATTCAACACTCTTATTTAAAATGAACAAATAAATTTCTTGGAAACCTAGGGATAAAAGGAAACTTCTTTAACTTGATAAAGAACATGGAAAGGAAAGAAGCAACAACTGATCGACATGGGAAGAAATCAGAGAAGAAACTCCGGAAATATGAAGAACGAAATGGAAACCACACCCCCAAAGAGGAGCACCAGACCCTTAGAAATGGACACCAACCAAAATCAGGCAACCAAAATGACAGAAGAGGAATTCCGAATGTGGATCATAAGAAAATTCAACGACCTGCAAAAACAACTCAATAACCAACACAAAGAAACCACAAAAAGCCTCCAGGACCTGGAACAAAAGTTCACTAAAGAAATCGATACAATGAAGTAGAGTTTAACCAAACTCCTGGAAATGAAGAATCAATTCAGGGAACTACAAAATTCAGTGGAAAGTCTCAAGAACAGGGTAGATCAAACAGAAGAAACTCAGAGCTTGAGATAACACCTCCACATTAAATAAAATCAGTCAAGAGATAGGGCAAGAAACAAGAGAAAGAGGCAAAGCCTATAAGATATTGGGTTATGTGAAGAACCTAATGTGGAGGTCATGGGTTGGCCAGAAGGGGAAGAAGACAACACTAAGGTTGGACAAGCTATTTGAAGATATAATAGAGGAAAATTTCCCAGGCCTTGCTCAAATCTCGATATACAAGTTAAGAAGCCTCAGAGGACCCCTGGGAGATTCAATGCAACAGGAAGACTACACGAACATGCAGTCATCAGACTCGACCAAAGTATCAACTAAAGAGCCCTTCTAAGAGCTGTAAGACGAAAGAGCACAAGTAACATACAAGGAAAGCCAATTCGAATAACACCAGACTTCTCTACTGAAACTTTACAAGCAAGGAAGCGAACTAGCCCTCATCTCCACAAACAGAACCAATGCCCAGCCTAGACTTATCCCTGCAAAACTAGTTTGTATATGAAGAGAAATCAAGACATTCTCAGATAAGCAAAGACTGAGGGAATTCACCAAACAAGACAGCCCTTCAGAAAGTAATCAAAACAGTGTACTACCAGATAGACGCACAATAAACACTCACGAATGTAAATCTACTCCAAAGCTAAAGATCAAAGCCCAGACACTATAATGGGCTCAAGAGAGAAAACAAAGCAACAAAGTTCAACCCAACATAATGAACTGAAATCTTCCTCATCTATCAGTTATCTCAATAAATGTGAATGGCTTGAACTCCCCACTCAAGAGACATAGGCTTGCTGAATGATAAAAAAACCAAGCCAAGTATCTGCTGCCTTCAGAACACATCTAACCTGCAAGGTCATTGGCCTAGGCAAAAAGAATTTATGAAGAAGACCCAAAGGCAATCACAACAGCAACAAAAAAACAAATGGGATCTGATCATATATAAAAGCCTCTGCTGGCCGGGCGCTGTGGCTCAGCCTGTAATCCTAGCTCTTGGGAGGCCGAGGCGGGCGGATTGCTCAAGGTCAGGAGTTCAAAACCAGCTGAGCAAGAGGCGAGACCCCCGTCTCTACTATAATAGAAGGAAATTAATTGGCAACTGATATATATATACAAATTAGCGGGCATGGTGGCGCATGCCTGTAGTCCCAGCTACTCAGGAGGCTGAGGCAGAAGGATCACTCAAGCCCAGGAGTCTGAGGTTGCTGTGAGCTAGGCTGACGCCACGGCACTCACTCTAAGCCTGGACAACAAAGCGAGACTCTGTCTCAAAAAAAAAAAAAAAAAAAGCCTCTGCACAGCCAAGAAACTGTCAAGAGAGCAAACAGAACAAACCCACAGAATGGGAGAAAATTTTTGCATCCTACACATCTGATAAGGGGCTGATAACTAGAATCTATTAGACTCAAGGAAAATCAGCAAGAAAAATCAAACAACCCTATCAAAAAATGGGCAAGGACATGAATAGAACTTCTCAAAAGAAGACAGAATAATGGCCAACAAACATATGACAAAATGTCAACATCTCTAATCATCAGGGAAATGCAAATCAAAACCACATGAGATATCACTTAACTCCATGAGAATGGCCTTTATCAAAAAGTCCCCAAAACAACAAATGCTGGCGTGGATGTGGAAAGAGAGGAACATCCTACACTGCTGGGGGAACTGCAAACCTGTCGACCTCTGCGAAAGCAAATGGAGATACCTCTCAAAGTGACAAGTAGATCTACCATTTGATCCAACAATTCCACTACTGAGGCACTCTACCCAAAAGATCAAAAGTACTTTATGAAAAAGCACCTGCACTCAATGTTTACAGCAGGCACAATTCACAATTGCAAAGCTATGGAAACAACCCAAGTGCCCATCAATTCATGAGTGGATTAATAAAATGTGGTATATGTATACCATGGAGTACTACTCAGCTTTAAGAAACAACGGTGATATAGCACCTCTTGTATATTCCTGGATACAGCTGGAACCCATTCTACTAAGTGAAGTATCTCAAGAATGGAAAAACCAGCACCACATGTACTCACCAGCAAATTGGTATTAACGGATCAACACCTAAGTGTATATATAGGAGTAACATTTATTGGGTGTCGGGAGGGTGGGAGGGGGGAGGAAGGGACAGGTATATACAACCAGAATGAGTAAGATGTGCAACGTTTGGGGGATGGACATGCTTGAAGCTCTTACTCGAGGGGGGGGGCATGGGCAATATAAGTAACCTTAACACTTGTACCCCCATAATATGCTAAAATAAAATTAAAATTAAAAAAAATTATCAGCATAAATAATATCCTCTAAAAATATCCTAGAGAGAACCTGAGTTTTTAATCTGATGGCATATTAACCAAATACAATAGGACTCATTTACAAAAAAAAAAAAAAGATAAAGAACATGCATCATAAATAATGGTGAAACAACAGAATTATTTCCTTTTAAATGAGGAAAACGATAGAGATGCTAACTATTGTAACTAATATTCAAAACTGTATTCAGCAGCAAGACACAAAGAAAAGGTATGATGGTTAAAAATGGTGACACAAAATAGTTATAATTTACATATTATTGTATATATACAAAACCAAAAACAAAATTAAAATTAGAACAGAATTTTAAAAGGTAGCTGGATATAATAGATGAAAATCAACTGCAATTGCACCAGCTACAAAGATTTAGAACACATGTATTTTTTTAAAATAGAACTTTTAAAATAGCTACCAAAAGTTGAAGGTGGGGTATACCTATAAATCAATCTTTCTAAACAGCATAAATGAACACAAAAGGTTGGCAAAAAGTACTATGGAAAGGGAAAGATGCATAGAGACATGGATAATAAAGCACAAAAAAAAGATTAAGAAAAGTAAAAAAAATAAACAGGAACATTAATACAAGGGTTCTCATTAAGTATTTCTTTCAGGTCTTAAATGGAAATTTCTATGATCCACAAGAGAAATATCACTAAAGCATACACATTTTGCAAATTATTATTAGATTTGCACTTTTCATGGTTTTCTCTCTTTTTATAATTCAAAGATAAGGACAATCACCTACTTGATTTATAAGTCTTTCAAATGGTTTTTAATAATTGAAAAAGCAAGAGTCCATATAATTCAAAAGTGGTCTTAAATGGATTTTATAAGATTTTTATTTGAAATAGTTTACTTACAATTATTTAGAATGTTAAATGACTTATTTAGAATAATGTTAAAGATAGTTTGCATTCTCTGAATATGAATACCCATCAATCAATGTTTAAAAGAAAATTAAAACACATGGAAAAAAGAAAACTGGGTCTGAAGTATTAATAAAAACTATTCATTCAATAAAGGCTTGTAAAGATCTCAGAACTCAATAACTCTTGTACTAGAAGTTTATGAACACTACAGAAGATAACTTACATCTTTTAACTGTAAAGAGTTTAAAATCTAGTTAAATTAATATATGAATAATATAAAGCTACCTAAAATTTAGTTGATACTAATAGGCTAAATCCTACCTGAGAAAGGTACATCTCTTAGAACAGTAGGAGCCCAGCCCCTCCAAAGGGAAATCCAACCATCTTCAGACACTTTCTTGCTGACAAACTGATGCAGTTCCTTGTAAGAAAATTTCTTAGATTGCATCTTGGTTCTAATCAATTCTAATGGACTTATCACAGTAACTGCACCAACTAATACAAATAAGCAAATACAACAAAAACAAAGTCATGAACTATGTAAGCACAGATGCAAAAATTAATATTACATGTACTTTATGAATTTTTAAACTTTTATTCTAAAATGTCTGAAAACCTTAAAATCAAATATTTAATGATGTCAACATATTTGCACAGATTTTTTTCCCTTCATAATGGTATTTCTTAAAAATCTATTTTCATATATCCTATTTTTTCTGGTTTCAACTCTTTCAAGAGCAGTTCCAGAAACGTTATAATAAATTAGAACTATACAAAAACTCATTCCAGTTACTGCTCTAATAAACCTCATTCCTATTCACCAAGAAAAACATTCTTCTGCATAGAGGCAAATTTACTTCTGATAATACTCTAAATCCTGCTCATAAGTAAAATGATTCAGGACTTTGGCCTGAACCATGTATGATCCCAAATGACACCTTGGAAGTCCAAGTGAATCATTCTAAAAACTCTGTCCAAGATTTGACCAAGATAGGCTGGTCCCATCTCCTTCTGATGGCAATCACAATACCATGTGACTTCTGGAGTATAGATATTAACATATTAGTACATATAGTAAACTATAATGCAAAATATATCTTACCAATACTGCATACATTATACAAATTTAAACAGAAGCTCTAAACTAAATCAAAATGAAAATAAAGATTTATTACTTACATCTGGCTACAATTCCAGCAACAATTGGTATGCGGGTTTCATTTTCTCCTAATTTAGATCTCAGAAGAGCAGTTAATTGATCATAGCAAGTAAAATAAATAACTGTGGCAGGAACTGCCATCACTCTGGTCAGAAACACATACAAAAAAAATGTGTTCAAAATTATCAAAAGGTCTCAAACATAAGCAAATTAAATTCAAATATAAGTTTAAAAAACCTTATATTTTATATAAGTTAAAAACCACAACAAATCAGCCTATGAGATCAATTTTTCTCTTATTTGAAAATTAATTAGTGCTTAACTTAGTAGACAATAAAAAGATATAAAATAGGCATCGTCCTCCAAAAGTTTACATTCTGGTTGTGAAAACAGTTACAGTATATAGCATTAAATAAAAGCTATATAACATCAAACTTAGATCACATAAAAATCACATGCTCAGGAAATAAATAGAAAAAGACAAAGTAGGACACTTCTCCATCTCCTTGACTTGTCCTGTTTCTGGTCTCCCAGATCTTCTTTCCTAATTATATTTACCACAACATGAGAATCACTTAAATAAAGAGTACACGAACAACTATAAAACATTATTGAACTGTGTGGCCCTATTGCTCACATAGCACACCTGCTTATAACTGGAAATACAAATAACATCACCAGAGTTATATACACTAGTTTCGAAAGAATTCTAATGACATATTCTTTTAAAGGAAAGTATCAAAAGGATTATTAATTAAATTAAAAGTTGTAGGCACTGTCATGTCATAAATATTAATGCAATAAGAAAGTAGTCTGTTTACGCCCTAACTATAGGACATTCAAAGACCATTCTTTAGAATGCCTAATGTTCTATATAATGAAGTTTGATGTGGACATTTTAGGAGCAGGACTGATTGGTAGTCTTGGACCTAATACTAACTTTATAATTGTAGCCAATGTTTAAAATATTTGCCCCCAAATTGATGAATTTCCTCCAATTGCCTATTTTATACCTTTTTATTGCCTACTATAAAAAGGATAAGTTCTTAGAAACAAATGAGGCTAAGAAAAACAAATTATTATTAGAAATTAATATTTAAGAGTTTTACATATGACCTTTACAGTTTATCATATTAATTCATAAAATCACTAGTTAATAGAAAATTAAAATTATCTGGAGAAGGGAAAGTATACATATTACAATATATCTTACTGTTTTAGTAAAATAAAAAGTCAAATAAACATCAAATATTTAATCTATGAAAATGAAAAAAATTACTATATGCTTGTGTAGCAAAGACTTAACACAGCTGGCTTGGTTGCTCAACTCATCAAATCACCAGAAGGGCCTGTTTGCACACCTGACCTTTGGACAATTCATGGGAATTTAGCTCTTGTAATGTTCCCTATGATAAGGTTTTTTTGTATGTCTGAAGCACCAAATCAACTGCTCTACATTGATTTGTTCGAGCAATGTGATTTATGGTAAATATCTGCTCTCCTATGGGGTCTAAAATTTTGTCAATCATAGCTGGTCTCAAAAACAGAATGTATTTATATAACAATGAATGCCCAATAAAAAAGTCCTACACTTGGAAACTCCTTTGAGTTTCAAAGCATTTCCCATGGCAGAAACACTTGGCACACTCTGCAGTTCATTGCCAGCAGAATAAAGCAGGTCCTATGTGATACCATGAGGGGAAAACTTTGGAAACCTATGTCTGGTCAACTCCCGGTGTGTCTTTTTACCTTACCATTGGGCTTTATATCCTTTTGCTGTAATAAACCATATCTATGAGTATATAACCTCTTTAGGTCCTCTGACTCCTTCTATCACATCATCAAATGGTGGGTGGTTGTGAGATTCACAAAACAATGCTTCAGAAAATGAAGGAGTTCTAATATTAAAAATGCAAGACTTTGTCAAACCATGCTGATTATGAGATAAAACAACAAACATCTTTTAATAGGAGAAATATTAAATTTCAACTTACAGGGTAGGAGGAAGACCACTCCACAGGGATTTAATGCCCTCATTTCGAACAATTTTTAAAAAGGCATCCTAAAATTGTAATTTAAAAAATAATCAAAATATATCCCTAAACCTGATACACAAACATTTATAGTGATAACTGATTGGTAATTTTATACTTTTAAGCATTTATTTCTAAAAAATGAGCTTCTTGGATTTATGTATGTCCATTCTTTTAAAAAAGGGAATTTTAACACAAATAAAATAATACATTTCTGGATAATATTAACTTCTTACAGAATAAAGTCTTTATTACTTAGCTCTGGATTGTTCTACTTCGGGCTGAGAAACAAAACATTTGAAATACTATTATTAAAAAGGAAGTAGAGCAATGGCAGAGAATTGGTTAAACTCTCCTGATCAACTATGAAATCAGAGAAAATATTATTAAAGCCCACTATCTGAAATCTTTAGAAAGGAACCAAAAGCAACTGAAGAGAAGTCTTCTATTAATAGACAAACTCTTACAATTTAATAATAAAAAGACAAAAATATTAAAAATTGACAAAGGATTGAATAGATATTTCTCCAAAGACATACAAATAGCCAATAAGCACAGGAAAAAATGTTCAACATCACTGATAATTATGGAAATGCAAAGCAAAACCACAATGAGATATCACTTCATACCCATTAGATAAGCTAACAATAACAAATACTGGTGAGATTGTGGAGAAACCGGAACCTTTACATATTGTTGGTGGAAATGTAAAATGGTGTTGCCACTTTGGTAAACAGTCTGGCAATTTCTCAAAAGATTAAACATAGTTACCATATGACCTAGTCATTCAAACTCCAGGTATATATCCAAGAGAAATTAAAACACATGTTCACACAAAATTATATCCAAGAAAATTAAAACACATGTTCACACAAAAGCTTAAATGTTCATAGCAGCATTAATTATTCCAAAATATAGAAATAACCCAGATGTCTATCAACTGATGAATGAATATGATATATTTATATAATGGAATATTACTTGGCAAAAGAAAACCTGATACATGCTACAACATGGATGAATCTTAAAACAATGTGCTAAGTAAAAGAAACCAATCACAAATAACTGCATGTTTTCCCAGGAAAGGGGAACCTCATGTAGACAGAAAACTTTTAGACAACAACCACTCTACTCTAACCAAATACTAAAGAAAAACCCACAGCACCACCCAGACGCATACCAGCAAAGGTCAAGTAGGTAGTCTAGACTGCTACCCTTGTAAGGCTGTAATGAGGCACTATGATACCTTTGTTGGGGTAGTATCACAGAAGGTCAGTAGAGAACCAAGACATTTATCCCTATCAGGTCAGCAATTAGTCCCCCCACCCTACTCCTGGTAAGGGTGGTGTTAGAGGAATAGTACTGAAGAGTCAGGACTTTTGACATCACTCAACAGTAAGGAAGCCACCCCACTACATGGTCAGTAGAAACCATGTGCAGAGCCAGAACTCTCATCCCTGCTCCTCAGTAAAAGAGGTCTTCCCTCACATTGTGTGTCAATGGAGGCTGACTAGGAAACCTGGACTTCTAGCTCTATCCAGCAGTCACAAGGAAGCATCCCTCTTCCTGTGGTAGCAGTGTCAGAAAAAGCCAGTTAAAATAGAATGGTTAAGTGAGGTTAAAAAGTTAATGAAAGAATCCTTAAAATATCTGAAGTTCAACTGAAAATCACTCATTCTAAGAACCAGAAAATGTCAAACTGAATGAAGATAGAAAATAAATAGATGCTACTGCTGAGATAAGAGATGATAGAATTATCTGACAAAGATTTTAAAGCAACCAATGTAAAAATCATTGAATAATCATTTACAAGCATGCTTGAAAGAAGTGAAAAATTAGAAAGCCTCAGCCTCATAAGAAATATACACAAAAAAACACTGCAGATCAAAATGGAATTCTAAAAATTGTTCAAATAACACAGAGGAAGGCAGGAAAAATAAACCAGAAGTAGAAAACAGAATAATGAGAAAATAAAAAGTAAAATGGTAGGTTTAAAACCTAACATATCTATTACTGCATTAATATAGTAAATCTAATAAGTATATCAAAAGATGAAAACTGATAGACTAGATTTAAATTATATGCTGCCTATAAGAAATTTGCTTCAATTATAATGATACAGACAGATTAAAAGTGGACTGGAAGACTCAAAACTTACAGCAAAGATGTCATTTTTCCCAAATTAATATACAGGTTTAATGTAATTCCTATACAAAACATAGCAATATTTTTTTGTAGATATGAAGATTATTCTAAAATTTGTCTGGAAAGACAAAGGAACTCTGAGAATAGTTAAAACAACTTTGAAAAAGAAATATAAGAATAAAATGGGAAAATTAGTCTACCTGATTTTAAGAATTAAGTAATTAATTACTTACAGTAATTAAGACTGTGCGGTATCAATCAAGCAACAGACAAAAGATAAATGAAACCAAATAGAGAACCCTGAAATAGATTCACCCAAAATGTCCAACTAATTTTTGACAAAAATGCAAAAAGCAACTTAATGGAGGAAAGGTAGCCTCTTCAACAAATCCAAGTGGACATCCACAGGCAGCAACAATGACAGACCTATCTTAGACTCAGTCTCATGCCTTATATAAAAATAACTCAAAATGGATCAAAGACTTAAATGTAACATAAAACTTTCAGGAAAAAAATCTTTAGGGTCTAAGAGTTTTTAGACTGGATAACAAAGGCATGATCTACAAAAGGAAACTGATAACTGCATTTCATCAAAATTAAAAACTTCTACCCCATAAAAGAACACTAAAGGATGAAAAGACAAGATAGAGAGCAGGGAAAAAAATTTGCAAACCACATATTCAACAAACCAATAGTATCTGAAATATATAAAGAACTCTAAAAACTCAACAGCAAAAATTTAAAACATTTAATTAGAAAATGAGCAAAGAAGTCCAGGCATGATGGCTCACGCCTGTAATCCCAGCACTTTGAGAAGCCAAGGTAGGAGGATGGCTTGAGCCTAGGAGTTTGAGGCTGCAGTGAGCTACAATGATACCACTGCACTCTAGCCCCAGCAACAGAGCAAGACCCTGTCTCGAAAAAACAAAAGCAAAAATAAAAACAAACAAACAAAAAACTGGTCAAAAGACATGAACAGCCATTTCACTGAAGAGGATATACTGATAGCAAATAAGCATATGAAAAGATGTGTAACATCATTAGCCACCAGGAAATGCAAATTAAAACCATGAGATATCTCTACACATTATAATTGTCACAATAAAAACAGTGACACCACCAAATGTTAGTAAAGATGTGGAGAAACTGAGTTACTAATATTTTGCTAATGGGAATGTAAAATGGTAGAGCCAGTCTAAAAGACAGGTTGGCAGTTTCTTAAGCTATAAACATGCAATGATCATATGACTCAGCAACTGTACTCCTAAGGCATTTTTACCAGAGGAATGAAGACTTACTTTCACACAAAAAACTATAAGTGAAAGTTTATAGCAGCTTCATTCATAACCCCAAACTGGAAAGAATCCTAAAAACAAACTGTGGTACAACCATAACATGAAAGAAACCATACCATGAGCAATAAAAAAAGAACAAATCATGGATATTCATGCAACCTGGATGAATCACCAGATAATTATGCTAAGTAAAGAATGACAACCCCAAAAGGCTATATATGTTCAGATTCCGTTCATATAACATTTTTTAAATGACAAAATTATATAAATGGAGAACAGATCAGTAGTTGCCAAGGGTTAAGGAGTGGGTGAGAGCACAAGGGAAAAGGGTATGGCTCTATAAGGAAAACAGGAAGGATCCTTGTGGTAATGGAATTATTCTTAATTTTAATTGTATCAGTTTTGTAAGATGTTGTCACTGGGATAAACTGGGAAAAGCCTACATGAAACTGTGTATTTTTCTTAAAATTACATGTAATCTACAATTATCTCAGAAAAAAAGTTTAGATTAAAAAAAGTTATTCCCTCCTTTTTTACATGAAAAACATGAACCAATGAAAAGAAAGTTAACAAAAGGTTAAAAAGAAAAGTAGTACTTTTCTTTTCCTGCTCTGATTTTTTTTACTCTATTGCAATTAGAAAATCTTTCATATATAAGATTACATATAAAAATAGAAAATATACTGAGAGTCTAAGTAATATAATCTTCTTACCAATGTTCCTCGGAAATTTCCTGGCTTCTTATACCATACTTTGTTGGCTTCCTCTTCACAGACACATAGATGATCCATGAGTCCATTACTATATACAAAACATTTTCCTAACAAAGAAGATTCCAGTGGCCAATAATTAATTCACCCAATTGTATTATTTTTACAGATGAACAAATTTAAATTGATCAGGGACTAAAATATATGAAAAGAGAAATAACCACAAAAAAGATAAATAACCATTTCTACTTTTTAGGATGAAATATACATAATTTGCTTCATTTTATGGCAATGGACTCTAAACTCACAGTTGTGAAAACTAATGGAATACATTAATAGATATTATGTTTTAAGAACTGTTAAAAGAAAAAAATGTACAAAGGAGTAAATTCTTTCGGGTTATCTGAGAGACTAAAGAAGGAAGAGAAAGGAAGAAAATCTGTTCGGAAAAGAGAATACTGGGTGCATGTCTTCTCTATTTGTCTAGAAGAAAACTTTGTGGTCTGGAAGGGAAATTCAGACAAAAATACATTACGAAAAGAAAAGTTCTTATCAATATAAATAATGCTATGTTTTGTCCCTTTCTCTGTATTTGTACTACTCATTCTAGCCATTTGTCAGCTCCTACCTAATTTAGTACAACTTCTTCCAATAAACTCTTTCCTATTTATTGGCCTCATTCTTGCTGCCAAAAATTATTATGTCAGTTTGACAGTATATAATACTGTGAGTTTCATAATACATATGTGTCTGAGTGTCTCCTTCTGCTTTTAAGGCTTTCTTTAATGTGTACCTTTTAGTCTCTTCCTATAATCCATTTCTCCTTTAATTCATCTCAAATGACACTGCTGTTCATTTCATTTCAATGCCATGCATTTAATAGGGTGGCATTTATATCTGAGCCAATTTTTTCACAGTCTAAACAGTCTATTTCCTACTATGTAAATATGTTTGAAATGCCATTATCTTTATAAAGCTATAAAAGACTGACTCAGGAATGGCTATTTTTGCCCCTCTTATACAAATATATAATTACTTATCTCAAATTCCACATAAACTACTATTTAGCAATTAAACAAGCCATCTGATAAAATAATAAATTTCCAATCACTGTATTCAAGCAATAGTTGGATGGTTATCACGGATGCTCTCGGACAGGCATGGCTCTTGGGCAAAGGAAGTAAGATTCTAAGGTCCCTAAAAAGTATAATTTTGTTCTTACCTATGAGACATATATCCAAATATATAATCATCCTGTTTTAATTAGTAGGTCCATAAAAGTGTTATATATATATGTTTTCTGCCTATACTTCATCATGTACAACTAAATACAGAAAAAATGTTTCTGCATGAGGACAAAGAGGCATCAATTTTAATAAATTAACAAAATGAGTAATATTCAAACAAAAATGAATGCAGTAACATTTAAAAATCTAACATAACATTTTCAGGATAACTAGTGTACATACCTTTGGGGAATGGGTTGTTTTGGGCTTGGAGTCGAATTTTAACAACATCCATAGGTGTCACTATGAATATACATAAGTTTCAATTAGCAAGTGATACCTATAAACTGTATAGACATTTGCTGAAAAACACAAAATGCATCTATTCATATTTTTCCTCATGGAATTAAAATTGGCTATGTTAAAGTAGTCTTGAATGTAACATTCTAATTTTTTGCCCTTGAATTTGCTTTAAAGAGTTTCAGTGAAAGACACACTATAATTACTTCTCATGGGTACGAAATTGTCACTTATAATATTTTTACAAATACAATTCCATTAGTATTAAAATTAAAACTACTAATATTTATCAGGAAATTGTTCTCTAAGGTGAGGAATAGAAAGTTCCAAAGTCTATTGAAATATTTGAGAATAACTTTGTATTACAAGTAATTGATAATCAAATGATTAGCCTCACTAATCTGATAAATCTACATGTATCAAATAGGAGCTACAGGTAGTAAAAATTTGAGTAAGCTGGCCACAAATCATCTTTAGCACCAGATTGTGTTATTCCCTTTGGAACAATAGAGTGAAGGAAAGTGGTTTTAATATGTATGCTATATCTTATCCTAGTAGTAGAAAGTGCCAAATAATGGTTCTAAGAAAACTTTTGCTCATCTGAGAATGAGGACAGTCACATTAAATGATCTCTAAGGCCTTATCCACACTAAATTCTGACCTGAAAATACTATATCATAAGTAATTACTTTGTTCTAATCATTTATCTTATTTAAATAAACTAGCCAACCTAATGTATCTCAAAATTATGAAAGCCATATATGACAAACCAAAGACAACATCACACTGCATGGGGAAAAGCTGAAAGCATTCCCACTCAAAACTGGAATAGGATAAGGGTGCCCACTGTCACCACTTCTATTTAACATAGTGCTGGAAGTCCTAGCCAGAGCAATCAGGCAAGAGAAAGAAATAAGGGGTATCTACATCCAGAAAGAGGGGTATTACTTTTCAATGACAATATGATCTTGTATCTAGAAAACTCTAAAGACTCCCCAAGAGATACCTGGAATTGATAAATAAATTTAAGAAAGTTTCAGGTTACAAAATCAATGTACACAAAGCAGTAGCATTTCTATATATTATACCAATAACAGTCAAGATGAGAGTCAAATCAAAGACTCAATATCATTCACAATAGCTACAAAGAAAACAAAATACCTAGGAATATACTTAACCAAGGACGTGAAAGATCTCTAAAAGGAGAACTACCAAACACTTGAGGAAAGAAATCACAGATGACACAAATGGAAAAACATATTCTCATGGATCAGTAGCATCAACATTGTTAAAATGTCCATACTACCCAAAGCGATTTACAGATTCAACGCAATCCCTATCAAAATGCCAACATATTTCATAGATCTAGAAAAAATAATTCTACACTTCATTTGGAACCAGAAAAGAGCCTGAATAACCAAAGCAATCTTAGCAAAAAAAACAAATCTGGAGGTATTACATTACCAGACTCCAAATATACTACAATAGTGACATAGTGACATAGACCAATGGAGCAGGACAGAGAACCCAGATATAAAACCATCTACCTATAGTTAATTGATCTTTGACAAAGAAGACAACAACATAACACTGGGGAAAAGAAGCCCTATTCAATAAACGGTGCTGGGAAAATTGGATAGATACATGCAGAAGAATGAATTAAAACCCTTATCTCTAACCACTCACAAAAATTAATTCAAGATGGATAAAAGACTTAACGTAAGGCATGAAACTATAAAAATTATGGAAGAAAATGTAGGAAAAACACTTCTAGATATCGGCATAGGCAAAGAATTTATGACTAAGACCCCAATGGCAATTATAGCAACAACAAAAATAAATAAATGGGACTTAATTAAATTAAAAGTCTTCTGCACAGCAAAGAAAATAATCAGAGAAAACAGATAACCTATAGAATGTGAGATAATATTCACAAACTATACATCCAATAAAGGCTAATAACCAGAATCTACAAAGAACTCAAACAAACAGCCAGTAAAAAACAAGCCTATTAAAAAGTGGGCAAAAGACATAAACAGCAGCTTTTCCAAAAAAGGAAAGACAAATGCCTAACAAACATGCAAAAATTCTGAACATCACTAATCATCAGGGAAATGCAAATTAAAATCACAATGAGATATCACCTTACCCATGTTTGAATGGCTTTTATTAAAAAGTCCAAAAACGAGAGATGCTATTGTGGATGCAGAGAGAAAGAAATGCTTATACATTATTGGTAGGACTGCAAATTAGTACTACCTCTATGGAAAACAGTATGGAGATTTCTCAAAGAACTAAAAGTAGACCTAGCATTCAATCCACCAACCCCACTACTGGGTATCTTTCCAAAGAAAAGAAGTCATTTTTATCAAAAAGACAAAATGTGGTATATGTATACCATGGAGTAGACTACTCAGCCATAAAAAATGAATTAATGTCTTTTGCAGCAATTTGGATGGAACTAGAAACCATTATACTAAGTGAAGTATCTAAAGAATGGAAAAGCAAACATCATATGTACTCTCTAATAAATTGGAACAAACAGATGGGCACGCATGTTCAAAGAGGGAAGTAAAAGTCATTGGAAATCAAGCAGGGGGTAGGGGGAGGAGAGGAGGGGCAAAAATCTACCTAAGGGTTACAACGAACACTATTCAGGTGATGTGCACACTAATAGATCTGACTCAAGTATAACAAAAGCTATCCATGTAACAAAAATATTTGTACCACCTTAATACTTTGAAATAAAAACTAAATTTTTTAAAAAAAAGAAAAAAGTAAATAAACCAGCTAACTTAAAATCATTAAAATGCTAAACATCATCTATGTCATTTGGCTATGTGTATAAGAAAATGACTATAACAAAGAGAAAAATGTGATCCAGACCAATTTAAGAAATTTGCTGTTAATGTAAAGAATATTTGTATTTGTTGCTACCATAAATTGTTCAAATTCTATATCATTCATTCATTTTTTTCATCTTCTCGCTTTCTATTATAAAAAAGGAAAATAGAGTCAAAAGTTTAATGATGATAAAGACCTCAAAAAACTCCCAGTCTAAGTCCATAATTTTACTGATGAAAAATGAAGTTCAGAGAAATGTTAGGTATTGTCTCTAAGTGTTTTCACCCTGAGAATGGCAAAGCAAGGACTAAAATTCAAGTTTCTTGAATCTCTGTCCAAGGTTTTTTTTTCATATCATAATGATGAAGGAATATTAGCAATCATTAAGGATAAATGGTAATATTATCATTTCATTATTTCACCGACAATAAAACTGAAATGGAATCACTGATTCATTCCAAATTATATAATCCATGCTGGCAACATAATCTTACTCATTAGTGATGTCAGTATAGCTCCAGTACAAGAGGCAAACATTTGTTGAAGAGGTGTGACTTTGATAATCGGTATTCCCTCTGTTTCAGATTCCATATTTTTAACTAATTGAAGAAAAATCTGTTAAAGAAAAGCAAAATATAAAATTATAACATGCTCTCTGATCTTCCAAAAATGGTAACATACTTCAGCTAAGCTGTGTGAGCAGGTGTGATGCTGCTCACACAGTTAAGAAAGATGTAGAAACAGATTCTGATCATGTAACAGAATGAAAGCAGTGGACCAAGTCACAGAATCTATGAATTTAGCCTCATGAACACTACTCAGAAATCTTCTTCAATCTAGTACAGAGTATTATTGAATATAGCACTATTTTTATTACATCCCTGGAGTTGTTGCATAGGTATAAAAATGAAATAAAAGCACATAACCTTAATAAGAGTTATTATCTTATAAAATTTGATGAGAAAAGCAACATATACTCTTTTTTTTAACAAATAAAAAAAGTGTAAAAATCACTTATTAATCACCATTAAAAATAATCGCTAGCAACATATGGGTGTCATCTTTCCAAATGTCTATGTACATATACACATATATGTGTATATACACACAGATTACATCTAACTACTAATAAATACTGTATATTAGTCAAACACCTAGGTACATTCATGTACTGTGTATGTGCACCCTTTTTGGAAATTTAAAAACAGGTTAATATTAATACTACTCATGCTTCTTTAGCAGACTGCTTTAACATTTAATAATATATTACATTGTGTCAATAAATATGTATTTACATATTAATTCTTGTACAATATTTAATTATATTTAATTGGTCTCATATTGTTAGATACTAGGTTGTTGCCTATTTCTCAGTTATAAGTTATTCAGGTATAATATCCTTATATATACATCTTTTTGTGATCTTCCTACACTTACTCTAGAAAAGAAAGTAAGATTGCAGGGCTAAACTATTTCAAAACTTGATACAAATTGCCAAAATGCTTTTTCCAGAAAGGCTGGACCAATTTATACTTTCATTGGCAATATATGAGTTCCTACTGATCACAACTTCACCAAACTCTTTCTCATATTATGTATCATTTCCCTCCCTCATTCCCTCCCTTCCTTTTTTTTTTGAGACAAGGTCTTGCTCTGTCTTGTAGTATGGAGTACAGTGGCATGATCCTAGCTCACTGTAACTGCAAACTACTGGGCTCAAGTGATCCTCCTGCCTCAGCCTCCCTGTAAGTCCTCAGTCAGAACTACAGGTGTACACCACCATTTCCGGCTAATTTTTTAAATTCATTTTTTGTAGAGACAGGATCTTGCTATGTTGCTCTGGTCTCAAACTCCTGGCCTCAAGCCATCCTCCTACCCTAGCCTCCCAAAAAGCTGGGATTACAGGCTTGAGCCACTGAGGGGGGCCGATTTATTTTTTCGGAATCATTTGAAAGTGGTTGCATGCAACATTCTTCTTCACCTTAAACACTTCAGAATATTCTCTTATATAATCACAGTACAATTACTGTGTTTCCCTGAAAATAGGACCTACCCATAAAATAACCCCTAGCAGGATTTCTAAGCATTTGCGCAATATAAACCCTACCCCGAAAATAAGACCTAGTGATGGGCGTGGCTATGCAGCATATCTGCACAACTCATGCATTTCGTCGAGGGGTAAAGAAGACAAGCAGGCCTTCTCATCTGCCCCATAAGAGCTCTATTGTTTGACATGAGAGATTGGGGCCAATGGTTCTAAACGAAATTGAGTTGCAAGAAATTCAGGATGGAATTCAGGGTTTGGAGAGTTATGATGATGTTCCAGAAGATGATGACTTACCTATATTTGAATAAATGTAGATTGTTGTACCGTACTTAAAAAAAATAACACATCCCCTGAAAATATGCCCTAGGGTGTCTTGAGGAAAAATAAATATAAGACCCTGTCTTATTTTTGGGGAAACGCGGCATCAAATTCAAGAGACTTAATTTTGATACAGTACTCTACGGTTCACATTCCAATTTTGTCAATTGTATCAATAATGTCCTATAAAAATAAATGATAGCTTTATTATTTCTTTAGATTTTTATTATCTACCTACCTGGCTTATGCCTTTTCTTCAACTCTATGATCCAATATTTTATTATTTGTAACATCAGTAGCCGAAAACCTATAATTAAAAAAGTAAAGTAATTGTATCTTTTCACACAGGGGTACATGAAAACACCAAAACATATATTAACAAATATTTATTTAACAGCTTCTACTAAGTGCTTTGAGAGCTATAAAGAGTACTCCACAAATGCAAGCAGTAGAGTTATGAAAGCATTTTCACAAAAACTTCATGTTATCCTAGTTAATATATTCTACTTTGTAAACAAACAAACAAACAAACAAACAAACAAACAACTCCAGAACCTGAATAGTGATCAACTTTAGCATCATTGATAGAATAACTCGATTTTATAACATAAAATTAAAGGTCCAGCATCATCTATGAATTTTTTTTTGGGGGGGGGGTGGCTTTAATCTTAATCTAAACAAGCTTTAGATCTAAATTCTGATTCATAGAAAATGTAGAGACTAGATTACCAGAGTAACAGATGCCACAAAATAACAGAAGCTGTAATATTCTAGCCTATCAGACTAATGTCTTGCTTTCTTCAAGTCAAACTAAGGTTAGGAAAACAGGTGGCAGAAGAGGGAGAACTATTCTAGATTAAAGGGATTTTAAGAGATTAAATAACCAAAAGGACTCTGGTTCAAGCAAATAGAGCCAATTTGAGGATAACTATAGAAACCTGAACATGGGCTGGTATTAGATTAATATTATCTTAAATGTTAGATAATATTTTAAAATCCTGTCCATTGTGTTGTTGAGATAATGGTACTACAGTTATGTAAAAACTGTCTTTTCTTTTAAGAGATTTAGTCTGAAGAATTAAGGGCTGACATGTTACAATAGCTATAGTTTATAATACCTCAAAAAAAAGTACTAAAATGCTAATAATTTGGTAAATCTAGGTGATACATATACCATAAGGTGATTGTTCTGTATTTTTCTGTACATGAGAAAATTTATATGACAAAATTTTTTTAATTCCTGAAACTTATGTAGAATCTTTAAGTCTGAGAACATACTTCTAACATTCATTTATATAAACATAGCTCTTTTAACACATTGATGGTCATACTAGAAAAAAATTTTTTCTTGGGGCCATGGTGTTTTATTACAAAAATAGAATAAAAATTTCAAAAACAAAACCATCCTTTCTAATTTAATGAAAAATTTGCTATTTTTTATTGTTTTCTGTGCATGAGTTATATGGAATTTGAAAATTAGTTCCTATGTAGCTCCCAAGGGGAAGAGATGTGTGAGTTACATATGCTTCATGAGATCCTGGGCTCAAAACTAGCTTGAGTTAAGTACAACTCACATGGCAGTTAATGTGTTCAGTGGGGGAAGAAAAAGTATACTAGAATATAGGTATACTTCTCCAGAGCAGTAAAATGGTCATTTTTTTTTTTTTCTGAAACAGGGTTACTCTTTGTTGTCCCAAGCTGGAATACAGTGGCATGATCACAGCTGACTACAGCCTCAAACTCCTGGGCTCAAGCAATCCTCTACCTCTGTCTCCCAAGTAGATGGAATTACTGGCACATACCATCATGTGTGGCTAATATTATTTTCATGTTTTATAGAGACAGGATCTTGCTATGTTGCTCAGACTGATCTTGAACTCCTGGCCTCAAGCAATCCTCCTGCCTCTGCCTCCCAAAATGCTGGGATTACAGGTTATGAGCCACCACATCTGGCCCCACAGTACTTTATTGTTGATATCAGTCACAGCAAGGTTGGTAACTTGAATTTATAGACCTGAAATTAAAGCCAAAAAACTTGACATATTTCTAGCAATTATTTAGAACGTAAGGGAAATAAGCCAGAAATTTAAATGTTTAATAACTTCTTAGAATTGTTAAATTATTAATTTTTTTCTTTTGAGACAGAGTCTTGCTCTGTTCCCGGGCTAGAGTGTCATGGCATCAACCTAGCTCACAGCAACCTCAAACTTCTAGGCTCAATCAACCCTCCTGCCTCAGCATCCCGATAAGCTGGGACTATGGGCATGCACCACCACACCTGGCTAATTTTTTCTACTTTTTGTAGAGACAGGGCCTTGCTCTTGCTCAGGCTGGTCTCAAACTCCTGAGTTCAAGCGATCCTCCTGCCTTGGCCTCCTAGAGTGCTAGGATTACAGGAGGGAGGCACCACACCTAGCCTGAACTTTTTTATTTTTTGACAATGTATATACTATGTATTTTAGGAAAATAAGTTATATCAATAGTCTCCTAAAATCATAACAAATATGTAACTATGAGATCTGAAAAATGAGTCTCCTTTTCAATTTATCAGAAAAAATAACATGGAAAATGCAAAATCAAGTAAGAGATTTGGTAGTAGATGAAGTAAAACTGGGAAATGATAATCATAGTGGTTTGTCTAGAACTCATACTGTATTCTCCACTGCTTTACACTTCCTACAGTCTTATCAGCCCACTCATCTTTCTCTCTTTCCATTCTTCTGTGTGCCAGGCACTGTCCATTTCTCAAGGAGGACACAATCTAGTGGGAGAGACCACTATAACGAAATATTCATTTGGTTCTCTTTATAACCTTAGAACAGCTCATAAAGAAATGTTTTGCAAGAATAGCTTTCTCCCTCAACTCCCTGTGAAGTTTCTCTTTCCCATACCTTTTCTGTTTTTGTATCCTACTTAACTTAGTATTAGCAATTTGCCATACAAAAGCAGTCCTCAAATATAAATGGCAAACATTCCCAAACATGAAAATGACCCTCCTTCGGGGAAAAAATGAACCTTACTTAAAGACAAAACCCACTCAAAATAGAACAAGGTCTAACTTAGTATCATCAGAATTTTTCATATTTTCCAATTGAATGTGTGTTAAATGCTTTCTTACTATAATCTTGATTTATTTTCCCCTGGTCAGTAAACTAAACATCTCTTCACACTTTTATTAGCAGTATATATAGCCTCTTTCTGTAATATGTTCACTTATAATTTTTTCTCATTTTTTCTATTAAGGCATGCATACATTTCTTATTATTCGGAGGAATCCTTTATCCTTTTTTAAAAAGTACGTAGGAATACATTTATTTTTACTGATACATAATAGATGCACATATTTTGGAGATACATGTGATACTTTGATAAATTCATATAATGTGTAAAAATCAAATTAGGGCAATTAGGATATCTATCACTCTAAATATCTTTTTTTTTTTCATGCTAGTAACATGCAAATCATTCTCTTCTAGCTATTGTGAGAAGCAATTGCACATATTCAAGGGATCCTCAATAAGACTACAAGCTGATTTCACACTGAAAACCATGGAGGCCAAAATGCAGTGGGATAACATTCCAAGTAATAAAAGTAAAAGACTGTCAAACAAGAATTCTATATCTAGCAAAATTATTCTCCAGTATTGAAAGAAAAATTAAGCTATTCCTAGAAAAATAAAATTAGAAAGACTATGTTGCTAGTAGACCTGCCCTGCAAGAAATATTAGGAGTTCATCAAGCTATAATGAGAGGCACTAGATAGTAATTGGAATGTATACAAAGAAACAAAGAATACTGGCAAAAATATGAGATAAGAAAATGTAAAAGACATATAAATGTACTTTTTGTTTGAAACTCCTTTTGTTAGGTAGATACGGAGGGACCTCCAGCTATCCTAGGGACAAAGACATTCCCAAAGCTGGGGAAGAAGGACTAGGGCATGCACCCAGTCTTGGTGCTGCCCCACCTTAATCCTGTACCAAGCAACTGCTACACCTGGGGAAAGGAGGAACAACCTGTCAATCAGCAAAAGGATGCAGGGAATTCCCCAGCAGCAAGCAGACAGCCCAGGCACCAAAGGGTCTGGAAGATGACCTAGAGTAACATAAGGCTACTTATGTCATTAACTGTCCATCAAAGTGGTTCTATGGTGATGTCTGAACTACAAGGAGGGCCCAATCTGGACAGTATAAAACAGGACCCCAGACCATAATCAGAGCCTCTTGTTACAACAGGGAGCCTGTTTGTCCTCTGTGGCAAGTGTATCTTGCTCTTGCTCTATAAACCTATCTTGCTCTTTCTCAATAAACTTCGTTTCATGCTTGCCTTGCTTTTAGTGTGTCTGGTCATTCTTTGGCCAAGAGCACACCAAAAACCAAGAATAAACACCTGCCGGCCCAACACTTTTTTCTCCTGATATAAAAAACAACTGCATAAAGCAATAAAAAAAAAAATCTGTGTTGATGAACATATAATATATAAGGCTGTAATTTGTATGACAACAATAGCACAAAGTGGGTGAGAGGAAATGGAGCTTATATTACAGCAAATTTTTGTAAACTATTGAAATTATGCTGGCACTAGTCCGAATGAAATTGGCATAAATTAAAATGTTAATTCCAACTCCCCAGGTAATCACTAATAAAGTATAGAAAGCATAATGAAGAAACAAAACAATTAAGATGGTATATGAGAGTATCTATTTAAAACGGAAGGAGGCAGTAATGGAGAAAAAGTGGCACATACAAAAAAAATACAGATAGTCCTCAACTTACAATATTGCAAACACAATATGCATTCAGTAGAAACTGTACTTCGAGCATCCATATAACCATTTTGTTTGTTTTTCACTTTTAGTACAGTATCAGATAAATTACATGAGATATTCAACCCTTTATCATAAAACAGGCTTTGTGATGGATGATTTTGCTTAACTATAGGCTAATGTAAATGTTCAGAGCATGTTTAAGGTAGGCTAGACTAAGTTATGATGCTCAGTAGATAAGTTGTATTAAATGCATTTTAACTCATGATATTTTCAATTTACAATGGTTTATTGGAAAGTAACCCCAGTGTAAACTAAAAATCATTTATATATAAAATAAACAAATAAAATGGCAGATGTAAATTCTACTTCATTACATATAAACACTACAATTAAAAGGCAGAGATTGGCAAAAGCAATTAACAGGAAAACCATGATTAAACCACACCCAGCCTACTAGAAACATTTTAGATTCAAAGATACAAATAGGTTCAAAGTAGAAGAATGAAACAGTAATAACTACATAGGTAAATGTAAAAATC